TTGTAATATTACTTTCTCATGCTTTTAACACTTATAGGGTATATAGTGATATCCCTTCTTTTATTCCAGAAATTGGTAATTTATATTTTCTCCTTTTCTCTCACTTTTGTTATGAGTTTATTAATTTTATTGATTTAAAAAATTTTTTTGAGATAGAGTCTCGGTCTGTAGCCCTGGGTAGAGTACCATGGTGTCACAGCTCACAACAACAAAAATCTTAGGCTCAAGCGATTCTCTTACCTTGGCCTCCCGAGTAACTGGGACTACCCACCACACTTGGCTAGTTTTTCCATTTTTAGTAGAGACAGGATCTTGCTCAGGTTTGTCTTAAACTCCTGAGCTCAAGGGATCCACCTGCCTCAGCCTCCTAGAGTGCTAGGATTACAGGTGTGAGCCACCGTGCCTTACTGATCTTTATAAAGAGATGAATTCTGATTCTGGTTTTTCTTTTCTTGATTCACTTTTTAAAACAAAGAGCACATAACATAGAAGGCCCCTTCAATCTTCTCTCTAAATATACTCCACCCCTTCTCTCACTATTCCCCTATCATTTGTATATTAATGTTACGCTAATTTCTGCTACTCTACTAGGATCCTCTTTACTTACCACATTTCCTGCTTCTGCAGCCAGTCGGGCAGCATAGCGAGCTATAAGACGGTGTTCCTCGTCCAGTCGGCTAGGACTATCCAGAACACTGCCGAGGAAATAAAAATTCAACAGGTATCTATATTAAACATCCCCTATTCATGATCCATTCTTAGGAAAGACGAAGAAAAGCTAGTAAAGAAGAATGATAACAAAAGAAATGGGGGCTTGGGTCATAGGTACTAGTGGTCTTCTGAGATAAAGGGGAATTCAGAGAAATGCTGAGGCCACATTTCTTCAGCGCACATCCCCACTGCTATCCCACCATCAAAGAGGGCATGCATTTGTTTGTTTGTTTGTTTGTTTGTAGTTTTTGGCCGGGGCCGGGTTTGAACCTACCACCTCCAGTATATGGGGCCAGCACCCTACTCCTTTGACGGGGCATTCACGAAGTCTGAGACAGGGATTTTTTTTTTAGAGACACAGTTTCACTTTGTTGCCCTCGGTAGAGTGCTGTGGCGTTACAGCTCACAGCAACCTCCAGCTCTTGGAGTTAGGCTATTTTCTTGCCTCAGCGTCCTGAGTAGCTGGGACTACAGGCGCCGCCCCCCTCCCAATGCTCGGCTATTTTTTTGTTGCAGTTTGGCCAGGGTCAAATTTGAACCCGCCGCCCCAGATATATGGGGCCGGTGCCCTACTCACTGAGCCATAGGCGCCACCCTGAGACAGAGATTTCTAACCAAATGTTTTGAAAACATTTTAGACCTAGATCTTAAATTCAGAAAGAATAAGAGAAAACTGAAGCATCATGAGAAACAGAGGGCTGAGAAAAAGCATACTTAACACTGGCCGAGGAAAGTGGAGAACGCCAAACATACTATATGCTGAGAGAATTCCATGGTATAAACGTTCCCTCTTGCTGCCTCTTTCTTGTTTTTTTGCTGTTCTTTTTCTACAACTATAGCCCCACCTTAGAGTGAATTAGTTTAATCCATGACTCTTTAACAAAAGTACTAGCACTCTAAAAATGGAAAGACTGACTCTGATACCCAGATGGGGCAGCAAATAATGTGGCACCCAGATGAATGAAGAGTTCTTGAGTGTGGGATGCTGATACTGAACTTTTCACTGATTCTGAAATACCCAATTTTTTATGTCAAGTGCTGTTTGTCTATATCAAGGCAGTCCTAGATTAAGGTACTATGGTTATATAATTTTTTTTTTTTTTT